CTGCTGCTGCTGCTGCTGCTGCTGCTGATGCTGCTGCTGCTGCTGCTGCTACTTCTACTATTACTAGATCTAACTCCCAGATCAATACCTTAAAACAACCTTTGGGTTGATCTAAGTCAGGGGGGCACGGCTGACTCACAGACTGAACCCTGAAACAACTTACCTCTGGGCTGATCTAAGTCAGGGCATGGCTAACTCACAGATCAATACATTAAAACAGCCTCTGGATTGATCTAAGTCAGGGCACGGCTGACTCACAGACTGAACCCTTAAGCAACCTTTGAGTCGATCTAGATCAGGGCATAGCTGACTCACGAATCGAATCTCCGTGAAATCCCAAACCTGTTAAATTTTTTAGCGGGAAGAAAGCATTAGACTGAAGTATAAAAAAGTAATAAACTTACAAAAGAGTCGTTACAACGCGTCCCCAGGCAAAAAGCCAAACCAATTTTAAAAAGCATAAACTTCCTATTACTATGTACTTCAAGTGTAAAAAAAAAACAAAGCTCGTCGCGATGTATAGAACGCCAACTCCCAAACGTCAAAGGTCTTTGTCCTTTGTCTTTAAGTGCTGCATCCTACTATTATCGAATCATTTACTTTATCGGAAACTTCTATTTTATTTTATAGTTTTCAAGATTAATTTTTTGCGGTTGGGATGGGATGAGTGTAATAGTACTTTTTGAGTTTTTCATATATTCTTTTATTTTTTACGCGTTTTCACCGGGCTTAAAAATAAGTATCGTTGCACTCGGTCCGTACGGCATCACCACGAGCCAAATATTTTCCCGTACGGCCCTCCCACTCAGTCAATAAAGACATATTATTTTTCCACTTTCCTTTTGACTAAGTTTTCTCTTATCTTAAAAAAACTGATTTTAACAAAATGGGCCAAATCTGTCCTAAGGGGAAAAGATATGGTTTTTGTTTTAAATCGTCAGAAAACTGATAGCTTTTTCTTAATACAAAGCCTCTCTTGCACAGTTCGTATCGAGTGAATAAAAATTAAATTGATATATCACTGGCTCAAAAAATGTTATCATAACTTTTGAAATAACATCAGTGATCAAATATATAAGTACTATTATATTAATGTCTACATGCTAATGTGTACACATGTACTTTGCTTATTTGAGCGAGGTACTGTAGGCAGATGGCCAAGTAACTCAATTTCTTTAGTGCACAAAGGTGGGGGCAAATGTTCTGTTTTATTCAACACTGCATGGCGGGGAAGCGTTACTTAATCGATAATGTCATGTTGATATTTTGATAATTTAGCTTGACGCATGATCTACTCTTTTCACCTGCCTCTTAAAGTGTCATCAATCTAGATAACACAAAGAAGAGGAAACTGTGTTACCTTCCTTCAAACAATGATCGACTACTTTTCCAAAGAAAAATGTCCAAGTACAAGCAGTATTTTTTTTTTTTTTTTTTCATATTTTTTCAATATTTTATCTATTCCAAGTAACTATTTTTAAAATCTATTTCTAATTCCAAGTATGCTTTCATGCGACAAACCAAAAAGTACCAAAGAATGTTTTATATTGGCACGTTCTTCAGCTGGTCTTATTACAGAAATAAACAGGAACAATAAAGATCCTTTCTATCAAAGTTTAATGACCCATTAGTAAAATTAAAGTCATTTGGTGAGTAAAATAGAAGCCAGCTGATAACCACGTACTAATTTAATAATCAACAACTAATCAACATTTTTCTATAAATACTGCGACGTAACGTACGCAAGTCCACCATTCAATCTGCGCGCTTGTCAATCACCGTTTTACGCGATCCATAGTAAGGTATCAAGATGAACAGCAGAATAGCAATATTAGTCTTTGCTTTTGGGATGTTAGTGTTCACTATAGACCAAGGATCGACGATTCTTCATGGAGGATTTGGTAAGAACTGCAAGCCACCTCCGTGTAGTAATAACGGCAAAAGACAGGTATTGTGGAAAACGCATCGTATTTTATATATTTCTGTCATCGATTAGAAATACCTGGAAAATATCCAAAACCCTCGATTATCATGGTTCAGAATTGAATTGTATTGAATGCATACAGTTCTATTCTACGTGGCATCAACTGTTCAAAAGTATGTACAAGAGTATTAAAACCCAAGTTGGTAAATTTAAAAGTGCGACAGATTTCAAAGTGTTATAAATTGAAAGTATATCCACAAGCTCCCTAACAAATCTTGAAGGTGTTCTTGTTCAAAATCTTGACCTATTTGCAACCCTTAACTTAAAAAGCGCATAGTCGGTGGGGTGATAAGAGAGTGTTGAACTTGTCGAAATACTTACCAAAAAAGTTACGGGCACATAGTTCTTTCTTTCGTCAAATTTCTGAAAAGTGAAGTGCTAGCTAACGCCCCAGTTCTTCCGCTCTGCTCCATATGAGAAGGTTGCCGGTATTTTTGAAAAACATTTGTGTCGTTGACCCGGACCCTTATTGGAATGGTCCTAACACGCATGTATTCCTCACACCATGGCAAGCCTGTATGTCTAACCATATTGAACGTGTGAAGCGACCGGCATGTATCACTTTTTATCACTTCCCCATTTCTTTTATTTGCCTATGTTTCCATTTCTTCCTTTCATCCTCCCACCCCCCC